ATGTGGCATAGTGTAATTTATTGGACTGTTAGCACAGCATTATTAAGAAAATTGACACAAATCACAAAAGCTGCAAATGAATTCTGCCAATTTTAGACGCTAAAAAAGCTTTAGCGTAGTTAAGTTTATATATACAACACGAGGTTGTACACTTTAGTTTCCAAAAAAGGATAAAAGATTAATATAGATATTGCGTGGATCCAACCGATTTTTTTGGCACAAAAAAAGCCCCCTTCCATTTCTGGAGGGGGGCTGTAAGGCTAGGCACCGACCTACTCTCCCACGTGTTACCGCAGTACCATCGGCTCGGATGGGCTTAACTTCTCTGTTCGGAATGGGAAGAGGTGGACACCATCGATATAGGCACCTGAATATCTTTAATTCAGGTTGTAAATTACAGGTTCCGGGTTATGGGTATCGCTACCTTCAACTTCAGAACTTTTCACTTTCAACTCATCAAAATGACATATTATTGAAAGAAGTCAATGGGAAGAACAAACAACGTGTGTGCAGCCTTGAAAGCTTCGGGCTATTAGTAGTACTCGACTGTGGTGTCGCCACCTTTACATCTGTACCCTATCGACGTAGTAGTCTGCTACGGCCCTGTATGGAATCCTCATCTCGTGGCTAGTTTCGCACTTAGATGCTTTCAGCGCTTATCTATTCCCAGCGTAGCTACTCTGCAATGCCCCTGGCGGAACAACAGATTCACTAGAGGCTGGTCCAACCCGGTCCTCTCGTACTAAGGTCAGCCCCACTCAAGATTCCTACGCCCACAACAGATAGGGACCGAACTGTCTCGCGACGTTCTGAACCCAGCTCGCGTGCCACTTTAATCGGCGAACAGCCGAACCCTTGGGACCTTCTCCAGCCCCAGGATGTGACGAGCCGACATCGAGGTGCCAAACCTCCCCGTCGATATGAGCTCTTGGGGGAGATCAGCCTGTTATCCCCAGCGTACCTTTTATCCTTTGAGCGATGGCCCTTCCATGCAGAACCACCGGATCACTATATCCGTCTTT